GATAACCAAGCCTTCTGCGTTCTCAGTAGATAATCTAGCCATCTACGTTCTCTAGCTACCTGCGTTTGCTTTAGATAATCTAGCAACAGTAATCAAACCCAAAGCAAACGAGACTGGATTGTAACACTTCTGTTGTATGACCTATGTTATGGCCAACCTCTACACGGTTTGTTTCTTTACTCCCCGTCATATGACCTGTATTGTTTGAATACGCTTTTGCTTTCTTTAACAATTGATTATGTATACCTGCCCGGATATCCCTTTTCATACGACCTGCGTTGTTTCTACATTATATTAATTTCCGCTACATGGTGTCTGTCCGGACAGCCCGTGTTATATGACTTTATTGTTACGATGTGCACGGTGTCTGTCCGGACAGCCCGTGTTATATGACTTTATTGTTACCATGTACACGGTGTCTGTCAGGACAGCCCATGTTATATGACCTTATTGTTACGATGTGCACGGTGTCTGTCGGGACAGCCCGTGTTATATGACTTTATTGTTACGATGTACACGGTGTCTGTCCGGACAGCCCGTGTTATATGACTTTATTGTTACGATGTACACGGTGTCTGTCCGGACAGCCCGTGTTATATGACTTTATTGTTACGATGTACACGGTGTCTGTCCGGACAGCCCGTGTTATATGACTTTATTGTTACGATGTACACGGTGTCTGTCCGGACAGCCCGTGTTATATGACTTTATTGTTACGATGTACACGGTGTCTGTCCGGACAGCCCGTGTTATATGACTTTATTGTTACGATGTACACGGTGTCTGTCCGGACAGCCCGTGTTATATGACTTTATTGTTACGATGTACACGGTGTCTGTCCGGACAGCCCGTGTTATATGACTTTATTGTTACGATGTACACGGTGTCTGTCCGGACAGCCCGTGTTATATGACTTTATTGTTACGATGTACACGGTGTCTGTCCGGACAGCCCGTGTTATATGACTTTATTGTTACGATGTACACGGTGTCTGTCCGGACAGCCCGTGTTATATGACTTTATTGTTACGATGTACACGGTGTCTGTCCGGACAGCCCGTGTTATATGACTTTATTGTTACGATGTACACGGTGTCTGTCCGGACAGCCCGTGTTATATGACTTTATTGTTACGATGTACACGGTGTCTGTCCGGACAGCCCGTGTTATATGACTTTATTGTTACGATGTACACGGTCTCTGTCCGGACAGCCCGTGTTATATGACTTTATTGTTACGATGTGATACTCGAAAAAGATTTGATCAATACATTGTATGACATACCGGCTTCGATTGCTATTCCGGGTCCAAATAGACTAATTCCCATGTAAACGACCTGGAAAGGAATACAAATTCTACATTTATCGATATGACACATAGGCTGACTTAAGGCCAAACTGGATACAAACAGCTTGACAAAGCAAGATGCGACTGGTACACACCTCTTGATAACAAGTCCGTCCGACCAGTACAAACAGCTTGATAAAGAGTGCGTCGACTGGTACAAACAACTATGCAAAAAGTCCGTCTGACCTGTAGACACAGCGTGATATCGAGTGCGTTCGACCGGTAAACACAGCTCAATAAAGAGTCCGTCCGACTAGTACACACAGCTTGATAACGAATCCATCCAACCGGTACATGTAAAAATAGCTTATAAAGAGTGCATCCGACCGATACAGATAATTTGATAAAGAGTGCGTCCGACCGGTACATATAGTCTGACAAAGAGTGCATCAAACCGGTACATATAGTCTGACAAAGAGTGCATCAAACCGATACAGATAGTCTGACAAAGAGTGCATCAAACCGATACAGATAGTCTGACAAAGAGTGCATCAAACCGGTACATATAGCCTGACAAAGAGTGCATCTGGCAGGTACAAAATATTTGACAAAGAGGGCATCCGGCCGATACAAATAGCTTGATAAAAAAGTTCATCCGATCGCGACCGATACAGATAGCTTGATAAAGAGTGCATCTGACCGGTACAAATAGTCTGACAAAGAGTGCTTCCGCCGGTACAAATAGCTTGATAAAGAGTGCATCCGACCGGTACAAATAGTCTGACAAAGAGTTATCCGACCGGTATAAATAGCTTGATAAAGAGGGCATCTGACCGGTACAAATAGTCTGACAAAGAGTGCTTCCGCCGGTACAAATAGCTTGATAAAGAGGGCATCCGACCGGTACAAATAGTCTGACAAAGAGTGCTTCCGACCGGTATAAATAGCTTGATAAAGAGTGCGTCCGATCGGTACAAGTAGTCTGACAAAGAGTGCATCCGACCGATACAGATAGTTTTACAAAGAGTGCTTCCGATCGGTACAAATTGTTTGACAAAGAAAGCATCCGACCGGTAAAAAAAAGGCCGGAACATACCACAGTCCTTAAAAATGGTAATTGTTATTCCCTGCTTAACGTTCAGCATTGAGGGGAATGGCAACACTACTGGTTCATCCGTTGTCAGTATAATGAGCCCGTGTGGAATGATGTGATGGGTGCCTTAGTCATGGTGTTTCAGTGGGATAGCACTATAAAGTCGGAATGACACCCGCGCTATCACAAGGAGGCAAGTACACCAACATACCATGTCTCAAACACACATACAAGCTTGCACAACACACATCGAGCCACGTCCTTAAATGACATTTGATGTTGATAGGACGTTTAACCAAAAACAAACAAAACAAAACCGAGAGAGAAAAATGTGTTTTTTTATTATCGAACATTAATACAACTAAAGCTTTCAAATTATGTTTCCAGAGTAAAAGAAAAACGAAAACGTCTGTACATAATATCTTTTGAATAATTCATCTCTTGTTCTATGTTATATCAATATATATTGCATATGTGATACTACAAATTATTATCAGAAAAACGCCTTGGACCATAAAATTGTGTTTAACCTTATCATTTTTGTGACATAAAGTTGATTGAATTCGTCACCTCAATGTTTTGCTAATTTGAATTTTGGATGTGAATGAATGATAAAGTAAATAACTGTAGACCTGATGTTATTGTTCACATATTACTATTTGTACTGTATGGAGTTCATCTCAATCCTTCACTGGATCATTGCATGGTGATAGCAAATAGGATTTAACATGCGAATGTTTAAAATGAGTACATGCAGAATATTTTGAGATAAATAATTGGACGTACTCTGAATTCAGGTTATATCGATTCGGAGGGTATATGATGCAAAATAACTATTAATTGATCTATACTGTATTACCGACATATACCTATTATAGTAAAGTTCACCTAGTTAACAGCAGTATAGTATTAGTCAATCACTACTGCTGATGCATATATGAAAATCTAATTAATTGCTCTAAAATACAAACATGTACTTTACCTTCTAGTTTTACTAGATTTTGGTCGAAGATGTAACACTCTCGATCTGTGGTTGAGCAAAAGTTCGTATCATTATCCAAGAAAGAGGTCACCTAGTCGTACCTTATAGCTATAAGTGGGGTAACGCTTCCTGTGCTGATGGTCTGTACCGCTCGGACAGCATAGTAAACTAACAGACCATGACCTACAGTCAGAAGATGGTATAGTTGGTATTCGTTATATCTTAACTTTGTAAATACATGTTCATATCTATATAACAAAATTAAACATATATTTTATGAAAGAGAAACGTAGAATACGACGTGAAAAATTGTGCTACTGCTTAGCATGTCATGTATTTAATTCATCATGATGAAAGAAAATACGTCTGGACATAAAACAGACTAGTATAGATAATACCATCCCTGAGCAAACATTGTCAACTACGTGTACTTTTAAATGTTCGGATAAACATTACTAGGATTACATTAATAATGACGTCATTGAAAGCAACCCACTGACGCGAATGATCCTACAGAAACCACATTACACACTGCTGCTTTCATTGAGAAAAGCTAGTCACAATAAAATTATGTCATTTGAACATTAATTTTTGATCCCGACAACGACATGGGTTCACCATAGCAAATAACAGTATGCAAAGCATATTGTGTATGATGACGAGTTTAATTTCACGACCGTTTATTTTTCTTAAAACCCTATTACAGCTACCCCTTTTTTTGTGGAGTAAATTTTCATTTATTGTCGTTAACGTGACCTGCTTTTCTTGTAAATGTGTATTATATGTCACTATCTACTACCTACTAATATTACCTGTTGTAGCCAGACACTATAAAGTAAAATTTTATTTTTTTGTAACCTCATAGGGGTTTATATGCATTAACTAAGATGGCGGATGGCAGCCGGACACACAAATGTAGTAAAATAGGTGTGTACTGATGATAGCATGACTGAACATAATGAAAACCCACGACTTTCTCCTTTACGTTAATTCTACACATGTTTTGGAATATTTCTGATTTGGATTCTGTAGACCTTTTAACACCTCTGATGAGTCCTAAATTGACGTTTTATGGACATATGATGCAGCAGTGTATACTCTGTTCAATGTCTGTATCGACGTATTTTTTCATTTAAGTGCTTACTTTCATGTACTTAGAAATGCTGGTGATTATCAAAGACCATCTCGGCATTTTCTTAGATCAATCTGGTCTAACTCCTTTTGTTTTGGAGAACTCATGTTAGGTGCCATATTTGCTGCAGTCCTTTTTTTTTCTCCGTAGATGTTTTAAGGTTATTGCTATCTTTCCTATACTTCCATCGCCTTCTTTGATCTATGGATTTCCCTTGATATTTGCAGCTATGGTACTTGAAATGTACTTTTACTTAACACTTTTTTGTTGAATATTAATACTCTTGACAAATCATTTTGTAGACAGGCATTGCCGGACACCGCGTCTTGAAAACCTCCGTTGTAATTAAACCATCATTATTTTAACTTTTGAAAAAGCAAAGTCTATTTACAAAGAAGACATACACTGTAATATGAGAATGCAAACAAGAACATGTTCATCCCGTGGACGCCGGGCAATAAACGCGATTTTTTCTAGAATCAAACAGTAATAAACAGACTCACAAAATTAGAAATGCACAACTCTTTAATTAATACAATTAATCTAAAGACATAGCATACATTATGATATTGGTCACAACGAAACAATCAACACAATTATAAAGCACACGAAATGGGAAAGTGACGTCACTATTATATTGGCTCTCCAAGGGGCGTCCATACTTGTCAGGACATTGTTGGTTGTCCAAGTGACGTCAGTATTTGTCTCTCCCCAAGACCTTAACCTCAACCAATCATTGTAATCTAACCACACATATATATATATTGCTGATATCCAAACACATTTATACACGAATCTTCTAACTTAAACGTTTGCACTTACACCCACACACCCTTATGAGTCCACACATTAACTGCATTACGTCTCATCCCCACCCGTCTGATACACAAACACATACACTACACACGCCACGGATGGCACGTTCTGGATGATGAATACACATACATACGATACACCAGTCACATAAAGGTTTTCCAATTGATTTTGTTTATAACCCAACATGCAATGACGTTTGCATTTATAACTCACAGAAGGACAAACTGAGGTTTACGTATAAAGATGGCTGCGTAGTCTAACTGGTGAAGTGACCGTTTCAGTTCTTACACTCCTGGTTTATTTTTGCATTACCGGCCACGTATAAGCACATTTTTGGTATTTCATTACCACTTGAGCATCACTTCCCTTGGGATCAGACTGAAAATGTTTGTAAAAGTCATCTAATCATTGTGTAGCAGCAGTAAGACTTCTTTTATTGTACATTAAACATACACATTGGATGATTGTTGGAAAAGAAATATTTGAAACGCTAGTGTTACTCTTTGAATCAAACCAAACCATCCTTGGCTTCAGCATCATACCTTGTAACGTGAAACCTGCCCTGATGAAACCATGTAATGTAATGTAACCTGCCAACTTTCTACCATAGCTGACACACCATAATAAATATGATATGTTCATTATAAATATACAGTAAAGAGTGACGATTTATTTGATTATCTTACTGTGCATGTCCAGTAAATAACTGATGTACCCATTATAGAAGATGTGACGCGGTTACATTACACTGCTTATGTATATGCATGAAGAAGGCACTGGTGAGGCCTCTATTGTGTTTATTACGGTCACTTAGGTACAAGTTTACATAGGTAATAGGCTATATGTCCTCTGTCCCGTGTCATTGCCGCACGTAGCCTGTACAATATGTACACAACTCAACGTTGTATCAGTTATGTGTATATAACCCGTTAGTGGGAAACCAATGCACAATAACGTTGTTAATAAGCAATTACATGTATCTAAGACGCTATTTACTGTCATTCTATATCATATCTCTTTTGTCATACACAATTATTTAACAACATTATGGCAAGGGAAGTATCGAGGTCAATCAAGGTATAATATCGCCAGTCATACATATATATATATATCTTGTCATGCTCATTATACATACCAAACTGCCTTTCTCTTACACTTCACAGGTACATTACCTTTTTGCAAGAGAAAATATCAACATTATGTACACCCCATTAGGCTCGAGATGTGATGTCCCATCTCACCCAAAAGAGGGGGAAATTCATGTTTATTTCAGACCGGGAAAAGGATGAATACACCTTCCTGTGTGAGAGAAACAGCTGTTTTTATCTATCTATTAAAACAAAGCTCAACTGCGCCTATAAATAGGATCTTCACTTGATACCGCGTAACCGTGTGACAGAACGATATCGCATTTTCTTACAGATTCCGTACTGGTACGATGTTTCATCATCACAACTAATTTACATGCATTTTTTACTGTTGGAAAGCTTGAGATGAAGACATAACACTATTCGTCCGCCGGATAAAAAAATTAAAGCAAAGCTCCATGTCTAATCTCACTAATGCTTCCCTTGTATTCCGATTCCCTTTCTAAGTAATACACTTTATGTGTCTAGTATGACTGTTATTATATACAATGAAGTATGTACAATATTGTACATGTGTAGCTCGAGTGAATACTAACCTATACGTGTATACCTGGTATGTCTACATGTACTCATGGCTATACTGTATACACATCTCGAGACGTGAACATACAAGAATGATGATTTGTGACTTTTGTGGTGTTTTATGGGCCAGCATTAAAAGACGACTAAGATATTTTACACCACGATATCTATCTAACGTAACAGTAAATTATATTTGCTGCATTTATCGATATATATATGGCCGAATGTGGACTCTGCATATTGGCGGGTGATTTTTTAAAATGTTTATCATTATTGTACATATTCACCTATACCTCTTAATTGAAGTAAATAGTATTTTTTCAATCATTTTGTAACAGCATCATAGTGGATATATAATATTGTATGTATCGTTTGTAAAAGATAAACGATATAACATGTCACGTGATATAACAATGATGTAAACGTTACATTGTACTATAATCGAATCATACATGTTAAAATATATATTCCCTTTAGAAACAGTCAATATGTTAATGGAAATGAAAGTAATACACTGTTCATATACAAATTATACAGTTATACAATGTACACAGTGATGTCTATTGTAGTTGAAACAGACGAGCAATCGCGAGTTCATTACATGGATATTTCCCGACGACTTGGTATAGGCTGGTGTTTTGTTATGAGAGAATAATCAGTGATACCACTGGTTTAGTAGGGCATTCAATATCACTCTAATCAAACACGCTGGTGCATGCGCTCATATTTGTCTAATATCACCGATGTTATTTGTCTGTACCAAAGTCAGCTCACATATGTCCTAATAGTCTCCGGTACTCAAAGGCTAGTAATCATTTCACAGTCCGACCCTTCCCTCTCGATCTCCTCCTCACTGCTAGCTTCTATCTGGGATTTCTTGTCACGGAGGCGGTCTCTACCCATGCATTGTTTCTCTAAATGCAGTCCTTCCTTTATGTCCTGGAAAATACCAAATGTCACTGACACTGACTGAGCGATATAATTCAGTAGTTTATAAAAATGAACTAAAGAAGTAAACAATTTCAAGTCTTTTTGCGAAATTACTGAATCCGTATATTTGTTAGTTTATCGTCTCTTTTCTATGTAAAAATGTGTCTCATGACTCCATCCCCAGTTATGTCATACTGGCCTCGAATCTCCCAAGCAATTTCATATCAACCTCCACTGTTGATACATATTTGCATACCAAAGGTTTTCCATTACTCTGGAATATGTCCTAAATGCTGCGGAGTAATATATTATTTATCAAGTTTTATTTTTATGGAGGGCCTTCAATCAACACAGAAGACTCTTTACTGTCGCCAGTATGATTTCGATTCTAGCTATGTATTCACATGATCTATAGGGAATAAAATGTTAATCATTGTATCTGAGCACGTTTATGACGTACTTACTTTGTTGTTTATGGTGAAAAAAGACTCTTCCCATTCTAAATTTCTTATTTCTCCTCCGTTATTGCTGTAGGACGATCGTGTTTCAATATTATTTCCTTAGTTACTATTGTCTTTATATTTACTGCCATGACGTTTCGCCTATTCCCTTGTTTCTGTTGTCTTGTTGGGACAACAAAGTCAGAGTGTTCTATCATTTCACCAGCATAGATTCAGTTATAAATATATGTTCAATATGCCAAGTATTTCATATATATATATATATATATATATATATATATGGTTTCCTCCCCTTAATACGCAACTTGTCGCTGCTGAAGCGGCGACAACTGCCTTTTCTTCTACGGGAGTGACGACCCGAACTTCTATAGAGAAAGAGTAAGCATGCCTTCTCAGTAAGTTGAGAAGGTGCGCTTACCATTTCAACTACGGAATGTGTACACTTACACAACAGGATTGGACAAAACTCATTTTTCGTACAGTTTAGGCGGCTGGCACTGCTGGTGGACTATTCTTTTTATCCGAGGTTTGCCAAAATATTGTAGATGGAATTTATTCAGGCGCACTTGACATTAACTAAAGTTTTAAAATATATCATTTGCTGTAAATTTGTAACGTTCTAAACAGTTAACATGCACCTTTTCTCTTCTGATGTTTTGAACATCTTAGACATTGACATTCATTCTTTAACCCATAGTACCACTTATCAATCATTAATAGACGAAACGGCATTATGGTGAAATAAAAGTTTACTTAACTTGGCTTTTTGTATCAACGTACATAATTAGATAAAGATATCCTTACTTCGTAGTTAAGTGATCATTTCATCAATTGGAAAGATACATCTATCTTACACAGTAAAGAAGATGGTTATAATTTTCGGTAAGGAATGTTTTACATGTACGTTTGAAAGATTGGAAACATTGCCATTTTCAAGTAGAGGAGTGACAACACATTAGTTGACCACTTCGGGACTAGTACTAACAGCAATAATCTTTCCACTAGGGCATTTTGGACACTAACCTTTTCCGCTAGAGCATTGTTCAAGTTCTTTATTGTGGACACTAATCTTTTCCACTAGGGCATTGTGGACACTAACCTTTTCCGCTAGAGCATTATTCAAGTTCTTTATTGTGGACACTAATCTTTTCCGCTAGGGCATTGTGATTACTTACCTTCTCCACTAGGGGAGTGGAGGCGAAGGAGTCAATGGAGCGTTCATCCACCTCTGGGTCGACTCCCGGGGTAGACAGTGTCTTCAGCTTCTCGTTAGCCTTCAGTACATTACGGACCTAGCAACGGGAGATAGTAATATTACTGATACAGTGCAACAATAAATAATGTATGAGTATATCACTTATATGTTATCACTGACCATGTATAATACAACATATCTTACAAATCTGCATGAAAATACTGAATATGTACTAGTAGTAATATAGTAAATAAATCAATTGTATGACTCATTGCACACGTGTAATAGGACATATATCACTTGTATGACGTTACTGCAAATGTGTAATTTGCATTGCCACCTGGATCATACATGTTATAGGCTACCAATAATCATATATGTCTACATATACACTGTACATATAATGATAAAATATCTACATGTATATGTAACATGGCACGGTGATCTCCACCAAACAATTAGAAAGAAACAAACATTAAAAAGTGTCAATCAACACTCGATCTTACCTCTTCGTGAAGTAGGTTAAAAACCGTAAAAAACATCGCCTGAAAAGAACGTTTTATATAAGTGTATCAATAAACATTTATACAGTATGTTTACCAGATATAATTAGAAATACTTGTAATAGCTTACATTAATATATACTAGACATACCTACAATGTACTTCTGCACTTTATACCTCACACCAATATATTCTAGATACACATAAAGCTTAATAACAACAAAGTTCTGATCCCTGTATTTTCTTTTATATTCAAAATGATGTTTAACAAACAAAATTCGTTTACTAGATTGTTACCTGTAATGCCAATAATTGGTTATACTGTGTTTTAAAAATTAACGTCTAATGACATTATTCAAATATTTTCCTAACGCATTTTATGTTATCAATTTCAAAAGCAAGTGGTTTTTTATCAATTACATATTCACAAACAATTTGAGATAAAATATGTCAAAATAAATACATTTACCCTAATGTAGGTTTTATTATGTGTTGCCCTATGCCTTATACACATACCTGTACAACATTTACCCGACCTAAGGTACTATTATGTGTTGCCCTATGCCTTATACACATACCTGTACAACATTTACCCGACCTAAGGTACTAGTATGTGTTGCCCTATGCCTTATACATATACACATACCTGTACAACATTTACCCGACCTAAGGTACTATTATGTGTTGCCCTATGCCTTATACACATACCTGTACAACATTTACCCGACCTAAGGTACTAGTATGTGTTGCCCTATGCCTTATACATGTACACATACCTGTACAACATTTACCCGACCTAAGGTACTAGTATGTGTTGCCCTATGCCTTATACATATACACATACCTGTACAACATTTACCCGACCTAAGGTACTAGTATGTGTTGCCCTATGCCTTATACACATACCTGTACAACATTTACCCGACCTAAGGTACTAGTATGTGTTGCCCTATGCCTTATACATATACATGTACAACATTTACCCGACCTAAGGTACTAGTATGTGTTGCCCTATGCCTTATACATGTACACATATCTGTACAACATTTACCCGACCTAAGGTTTTATTATGTGTTGCCCTATGCCTTATACACATACCTGTACAACATTTACCCGACCTAAGGTACTTTTATATGTTGCTCCATCCCTTATACACATACCTGTAAAACATTCATCAGAGCGTAGAGATACTTGATAATCGAGTCATGCATCTTCAGGGATAGGAAGGCGAAGGACCAGTTTACAGTGACTAGGATGATCTGGGTCCACATCCCTTTCATTTGTATCCTGCAAAGTCATTACTTAAAATGTATACCTTACAAAGTCAATGCACTACAATACACACCATTTAAAGTAAGAACATGATAACACACACCCTGACGCTTCTGTAAAATATAACATTACACATCGTCTATAAATTGTTTTGATGCATTTACAACATACAAATGCAGTGAAGATATAAGTATTTATCAAACCTAAGATTTCTTAGTTTTCTTGATAATATATATTTTTCAAATGAGTTCCCTTATGATAAAACTCATCACTACAAAAAGTGCACTTACGTAATTATGTATTGCTACAATTATAGTACGTACGTTAATATTCATCGCTACATTTAGTGTTCATACGTTAATATGTATCGCAACAATAAGTGCTCATACGTTAATATGTATCGCTACAATTAAAGTTCATACGTTAATATATAAAGCTACAATTAGTGTACGTGCGTTAATATGTATCGCTACAATTAGTGTTCGTATGTTAATATGTATCACTACAACAAGTGCACTTTCGTTAATATGTATCGCTACAACTAGTGTACGTATGTTAATATGTATCGCTACAATTAGTGTTCCTACGTTAATATGTATCGCTATAATTAGTGCTCATACGTTAATATGTATTTTACAATAAGTGTTCATACGTTAATATGTATCGCTACAATTAGTGTTCATACAATGTACGTTAATCTGTATCGCTACAATAAGTGCACTTAAGTTAATATGTATCGCTACAATTAGTGTACGTACGTTATTGTGTATCGCTACAATTAATGTTCATACGCTAATATTTATCGCTACAATTAGTGTTCATACGTTAATATTTATCGCTACAATTAGTGCACGTTCTTTGATATATAACGCTACAAGTAGTGTTCATACGTTAATATTTATCGCTTCAATTAGTGTATGTACGTTAATATATATCGCTACAATAAGTGTACGTTATTTAATATGTATCGCTTCAATAAGTGTACGTTATTTAATATGTATCGCTACAATAAGTGTACGTTATTTAATATGTATCGCTTCAATTAGTGTATGTACGTTATTATGTACCGCTACAATTAGTGTATGTACGTGATATTTATCGCTACAATTAGAGTACGTACGTGATATGTATCGCTACAATTAGAGTATGTACGTGATATTTATCGCTACAATTAGAGTACGTACGTGATATGTATCGCTACAATAAGTGTACGTTATTTAATATGTATCGCTTCAATAAGTGTACGTTATTTAATATGTATCGCTTCAATTAGTGTATGTACGTTAATATGTATCGCTACAATTAGAGTACGTACGTTAATATGTATCGCTACAATTAGAATACGTTAAATAAAGCAGTAGACCAGTCCAGATTTGTTCACTTTTACAGGATTTCGACATATTTTGATTGACATGATATGTTGTCTTCTAGCTAAGACGTTATTGACAGAAACGTTTTATTAAGCTACCACATTGTATAAACATTGCACGAGTTTATTCCAATACGAAAACGACCAGAAACAATGCAATCTAATAGGTTCTTGAAAAAAAGGCAAATAATAAAACCGTTAACCATATATCTTTTAGAATTGTCAAATTAATAAACATGATGTAGACATATCCGATACTTATATATTTTGATAGTTCCCTCTATGTGTTCTATTGAGGTACCTACCCTACACAACTGATATGTTATAGATTATACATATTTAATTGTTCAACAAGTATTTTACAATTTCAAACACTACTTTGTCAGTCGTTTCTGTCAGCGCTTTTGTCAGTCTAGACTTAAGAGCGCAAGGAGTTTTAATGTGGGAGAAAAACCCTTATTTTTACACATCCAAACGGGGAGTCGTTCCCCAGCTGTCTTGGTGAAATGCGAGTGCGCTATTATCTGGACCACCCGACCACCCAAGGCGCTACCATACATTAACCTTTTACTAACGTTTCTAAACATGTGGTTATTCGATCAGTCTCGAGCGTTTTATCCTGAAATTTTGTAACACTTAATGTAAATCAATATCACTTTGTCTTCAATATATCCTATCTAGTACTTACGTCAGCACTTTATTGGTCTTTTCACTTTTCGTATACGAATTTTCGTTGTGTTCCTTCGCTGTTAATATCAAAACCATTATCGCCACCTAGCGAAAAGAGATAAAATTCAGTAAGACACAACGTTATTTATTCTCATCTAGTGTTAGGAATACGCCGTTGTCATGTGCAATGATGCATGTGCTCACACTCAGGACACATAGTAGCGACACGACAGCTGCTGTCTGCTACATAGACACAACATTTAACATAACTCTAAGGCAGGAATCAACTGCTGCAGAGTATATTTTACTCTGTAAATAAACAGTAATATTATCTTACGTTGATGTAATTAAGGTATCGAATGCATTATTTAAAGTGCTTTTGAAAGAAAATGATGAGTGATATTTGTGAATTCAGTTCAAATTTACAGTTCCCAATTTCTTACTATCCATTTCCCATTACAAGAACAGGTATAAGAATAGGTAAATGCTGGGATAAAAGCATGCTGTATATATAGCCAAGTACTAAAAGACTGTAAAATCAATCAAATAAAACTCCGTCAAGTACCATTTTAAAAACAAGGCAAACATCTCAATTAAAATTAATCATTGTGTTCCGGGTATCTACCATTAGCAACACTGTCATTTAATCAAAATGTTGCATTTACGTAACATTGTACAAATGTCAAGATATAATGCCGATATATCCTGCATTACCTTCCTTTTGTATTACTCTTCTATTTCTGAATAACATCTTACCCTTAAAACACTACTGAATATATCACTTATTCCTCTTTATGATAATGTTAAGATGATATTAAGATAAATAACTTAAGATTAAGATTAAGATTATCATTAAGCTGTATCCAGAACGACAATATCAGACGTTTCTAACAGGAAACTAAACTGTTGACCGATTCAGTAGTTAGCACAAATAATACAGAATACCTACCGTTACTATACCAAGCGTTGGGCCGACAAATAACCAGAGGTTGTCCCATGCAATCCAGCACCTACAATAACACATACAATATTATCCAGTGGAAAGCTGAATTTCTTGCGAACGCAGTATGTCATATTGCGAAGGTACGAGCTATTGCAATACTGCGTCACAAGCCACGGCAGTCTCGTGGTCAAAGTTGTAATATTAAACCATGTTGTATTAACAAAATCAACACATTATTATTAATTTACCTCTTGAATAAAAACAATTCTGCAAGGTGAGCTGACACTAATGTGCATGGGGGTTCATGGTGTCTTTCGTTTCATTGAATCGAATAATGTTTGATATGAAATTCATTATTACTTTTAATTAATGAAAAATGTAAATAATATGAATTAATTCGTCATCTCATAAATCTGGTAATAAACACTGTAGCCTTAACCGTTTGCGTTTTAAACCTAAATAGTTTAGACATTGGACACACTAGAGTGTCACTAAAGTTTTGCATTATTCAAACTGTTGGTACTTATCAAATTACAACAAGAATTGAGGCCTCATGCAATCATTTCTTGTATTATATGAGGTAACCGTCCTGACGCATCATGTATAATCTTAAACAGTCTGTAGGCTCAACGACACGTCTGGAATAGTGTTTTCAATGTTAAATTAACCCCACCCTGTATTGCTAGACTCTAAATCTAAGATATTATTCTTTTACAGCGCTACTTAAACACGTGTAAATGTAATGTAAGCAATACCTTCTTTATATGATTGTGACTATAGCTGTGATAACTGTTACTTTTTCTTTGTTTTCTGTGCACTTCTTTATTTTTTCTTAGCAGATTGCTTATTTACTTACATATCTTTGGCGTAGTATGTTTCACCTTGTGATCCGACAAAAGCACCAACAAAAACCCCTGGTAGGACTGAAGAATACAAATGATATATGAGATGTACTTTAACATGACTAAATGCTTCCTTACTTTATATTTCTTGTGCTTGTTTTACCATCAATGTGGCTGACTAGAACAAAACTGAGGAAGAGAAAATTAAAACTTACTCCATCCTAAAAATGTATAACGCAAAAAAGATCCAGAGTCCGAAAGGTCTTGGTGTTGCGCATGGGCAGAGTATGTCACAGTGGTATACAGATGGAAAGTCTCATTCATCAACCAGGAATACGTGGAAAGGACGAAGTAATGGATTAAAACAGCGAAAACCTCACAAACAACCTGAAATATAAAAACACATAATGATAAGGTTATCAGTGATACATGCATGTACAACATCTAACATACAAGCTGTAATAGACAACCACTTAAAGAGTAAGGAAACATGACTACGAACAGCTCATACATATTCTCTAATGTATAGCGATACGGAGTTTAGGAGTCTGGAGTACGAATACCTCTCATGCAGGTTGACATGTACACCCACAAAAAAGGTGGGAATCAGAATTTTGAACAAAGCATTACACGTGATACAAATCCCTCGCATTTATTTATTTTCTAAAACTAGTAACAGTGACTTTGGCTTTCAACGAAGAAACCCGAAACGAGAACTTGTTCAAGGCATTGATATACCAAACACTGGTATCAAGTTTCATGAAATTCCGTTGTGGAATGAAGTCGGTAGAGCGATGACAAAGCTTTTCTAAAGATATTAACAGTGACGTTTCGTTGCGAGGGAATAATAAATATCACACCGGCTTTAATTCAAAACCACATAAAACATGAGAAATAGTACTAGAAGCCATCACATGCAGTCTTTTATGGACACCAATATAAAAAATAGCATACAATGATGTTATAGTGAGAGAAACGGGACCACAAACATCTGAAATACAAGCTGTAATATACAACGACTTAGAATGAGATATAAAGGACAACAAACACCCAGCCCACAGGCTATAAGGTATAACCACGTAAAGTGTTTACAAAAACAGCAAAAAGCTCACAGTCTGTAAGGTACAACCACGTAAAGTGTAGAAATACAGCAAACAATATCATACAGGCGCGAGGGTTAACCACGTAAAGTGTAGAAAAACAGCAAACAATTCACAGGCTGTAAGGTATAACCACTTAAAGTGTAGAAACAGCAAACAATTCACAGGCTGTAAGGTATAACCACTTAAAGTGTAGACAAACAGCAAACAATTCACAGGTTATAAGGTATAACCACTTAAAGTGTAGAAAAACAGCAAACAATTCACAGGCTGTAAGGTATAACCACTTAAAGTGTAGAAACAGCAAACAATTCACAGGCTGTAAGGTATAACCACTTAAAGTGTAGAAAAACAGCAAACAATTCACAGGTTATAAGGTATAACCACTTAAAGTGTAGAAAAACAGCAAACAATTCACAGGCTGTGAGGTATAACCACTTAAAGTGTAGAAACAGCAAACAATTCACAGGCTGTAAGGTATAACCACTTAAAGAGTAGAAAACAGCAAAACCCCAACATAATCTGTAAGGTTTAACCACGTAAAGTGTAGAAACAGCAAACATTTCACAGGCTGTAAGGTATAACCACTTAAAGAGTAGACAAACAGCAAAACCCCAACATAATCTGTAAGGTTTAACCACGTAAAGTGTAGAAAAACAGCAAAAATCCTCACATGCTGTATGTTAAAACCACATAAAGTGTAGAAAAATAGCCCAGAAACTCACAGGCTGTAAGATATAACCACGTAAAGTGTAGATAAACAGCAAAACACCTCACACAGTCTGTAAGGTATAACCAAATAAAGCGTAGAAAAACAGCAAAATACCCCACATAGTCTGTAAGGTATAACCTCGTAACGTGTAGAAAAACGGCAAAAAATTACACAGTCTGTAAGGTATAACCACGTAAAGTGTATAAAACAGCAAATCACGGGCACCTCACACAGGCTGCAATGTATAACCAAGAGTAGAAAAACAGCAAAAAACTCACTAACAGGACCAAGCGGTTTTTTTAATTCATATAAGAAGTAGGAATAAGGTCCAAGAACATCTCACACACAGGCTGTAATGTACAGCGATGTACACGGTAGGGAAACAGAAAGATGTACCTGGGACTCACACATGGGACTGTACCTTTAAACGCTTGTAATAGATAGAGCATGCCAACAATGAACATCCAACATACAGGTTGTACAGCCATACGGAATACGGAACAACAACAGCAGAAAAAAGAACATCCAACATACAAGTTGTGATGTACATCATATAACATGTAGAAAAGAAGGGGGAAAAAACAAACACCTCGCATACATGTAGCAATACGCAAATATAGGAGGAAAAACAGGAAATTAGAACTATAAACGTTTCACATAAAGACTGTAATGCACAACAAGTGTTACTTTGATTAATTCTATTTTCAGTTAAATAGTTTTAATTTAATACTGTTATTTAATAGATTTAATACCAATTAAAGCAATGTAATTTAAGGTGAGTGTTTGAGTTGACTGTAGTTGGAAACAAAGTATGGAATCAATACAGTTTCTTATAAGTGGCCAAATTGCGTCCTTGTGGAGGGGACGCTGTGCCGAAGGCTGGTTTTGGAGTCGCGTGTTTTGTACTTACTTGATTTTCGTATCGATCTATTCCTATCATGAATACGATCTGACTGAAGAAAATCGATAGCGCTAGATTTTTATGAAGCGAAGCTATGGCAGACGATGTTCTGAAAGTAGAAATGGGAAAACCTGTTATCTTTGTAAAAACAGAAACTACATTGGCCTATAACATTAAACAAAATACAAATCTTTTATCAAAAAGAGGAAATAGGGGCACATGAACTTTTCTAAAATACCACTGATCAAATAGGGTTTTTCTAGTAGCAAACGTCCTACATAAAGTGAGAAAAAAACATAGTGTCAGAAAAGACAGGTCGATTAGACAATGGCGGCTAGGATGCTACTTCTGAGGAGAGGTTACTCGGTAGGCAAAGAGGGCTAGTATGTTGCTTCTCAGAAAAGGATAGTTACTATCGTTAGATCGTCATATAGTTTAGTGATAAAAGGATAAATGATATCAAACTGTAGGCAAATGTCAATATACGAATCTGAAGAAGAGAACTCGAAACGTTTTCTATTCTTTACACTTATACTCCAATACATCGCCAAAATAAATCCATGTGATCAGTAGAAATTCATTTCAAGCTTATTTGACATTTACAGTCAAAGGACAGAAAAAAAGTTACATTGACAGCAAAGAGATTTGTCCTGATTACTCTACTGTACTTACAAGTATAGCTAACATAAGGCGATACAACTAGTCTGTCGTTGTTGCAATAGTATCTTCGAGGCACTTATTACTTTGATACGTTTACGTGGCAGTTAAGATACTTGTACTGTTTTATATACCGTAGTTATATTGATATCTACGAGGCTTTCCCCGATCTGTTTGAATAACAGCAAAAAAGGTTTAAAATATGTATGTTGTTTCTATGATTACATAAAGCTTTCCATGTGAACCTTTTACTAAACGGATAACTGTAAGTATCAAAATTCCATAGCACAAACAAAACCAGCGATTATAATGTGATGTTCAGTAGAAAACGAAGGCTAAAGTGATATATCTTTATTGTTTTAATTTTAGACATTTGAGTTGTCTTAGGCAAGATCATTTAAGCTCTCCTGTTCGAAGATCATAGGGCTGATGCAGTCACCTTTGCGTCGTCGTCGACGTATTTTGAAGGGTTTGCAGGTGTTGAAATTCATTAACACAAGCTGAAGTATTTGAACCAGGACACTGGTATTTGGTATAGATGTTATTTGAGTGTCCAATATAGATGGAGTACAACACTCATTACAAATTATTTCCATTTCTTTTAATTCTAATCTGATTTGGCCTAAGCTGGTCTTGCCCATATTTCAAGGTTTAATATGTTGCATTAAATGTTAAATTTCACTATATTATAGCATCCAGTATTTACACTATTATGCTGATATTTGGCATCGAAGTTCCCGCGGTGTACAAAACTGATGTAAGAAACATTTTACAGATTTATTTTAGTTTTTACCTTTTGATACTTAAATATTTACGTCAAAACATAAGGGTAAACTTAACGTGCAAGTGATGAAATAAACCAATAACTTTTGCAGGGAATGTAATACTTGGCATGAACGTTCCTGAGGGGTGAAACATTGTTGTATTTTCGCCTATCTAGGACTTTCTTAACCTGAATATATTGCAAAAACAGATGATAGTGCTCAGAAATAACGTTGTCACTTACAGAAGCAACATGTGAAATCATGAATGTGTGTCCTGCGCAGCGATGTGCCGCAACATGATACCAATATAATATCTATGTGCTGGTCATGTTGTCAAAATTCTAAAAAATCAACCACATTTAATGAAATAATCTTAGTCTCTTGCTTGTTATTTACCTTTGGCTTTACGACCAAAAACTAATGAACATCATAATTCATACATAACATTAAAACAAACAGTACTGTCCGACGGTAAAATTGGTGGAGTCTTACTTGCAATACAGATGGATGGCTAACGTGCCAAGGCTCAATAGGGCGGACAGTGCACAACCAATGTAGGACGCAGCATTCATCAGTATTGGACGTTTTTCTCCTTTGTCCCACTAAAACGGAACACAAATTAATTGAAATTGATCAACATCGTTTTGTCAAACATCCCATCAATTTTTATACCATCATACCTATATCACGTATTAACCCGCATTTTTATCCGTTACATTGTGAACATAATTAAATATCGAAATTATTTTGGGCATTCAGACCTGACAAAGTATATCAACCATAAATATACAATCAAAGGTAAAATTTTAAAAAATAGTTTGAGTTTTGTAATAAGGTAATAATGTTTTGTTGTATAGTACATTATCGATCGACCTATATTGAAACAGAAATGACGTCACACTCACGTTGTCGTTGTACATGTCTGTTGTGATGGCGTAGATACCGGGAACAAAACATCCACACCGCGCCGAGATCCCGTCCTGCCAAATGAGATGACAGTCATCTCTTAGCCAGCGCCACTCAGCGGACCTGTAGCAGAAGCACACGTGTAGATATGATTAAATGAATGTGTTGAAAATATACCTATGTCCAGATGAAAAAAGTATCCTTATACAATGAAATGGTCGAATTAACTTATCTATTCTGTTTTGATTGTGTTCTTCATTAGTCATATCCATAGGAGTTTGTAAACACACAAAGGCCATTAACATTTTCGTTTTTCGTAAATCAAAAATACATCATTTCCTTACAAAAAGAACAAGGAATTGTAATGACTGTTTAGATTTGCTACTCACACTGAACTGTGCCTAATACGGACACATTCCGGGTTAGATATGTTGAATGTCTGCAAAACAAGACAGCGAATCAATGATTCCTTATTAGTTGGCACAACATGCCCTACCAAGAGGTCGTGTTTAGTTGTATTGGTATTTTGTTCAACGCTAAAAAGTTATGGACCATTTCTCAATATGGCAAACATACAGACAACGTGCAGAGTATACACATGTACCAACTCCCTTCTTAGTTTCGTCTCCCAATCACCCTTCCATTCATATTCTCCCAAAACCTCTTAATAACATACGAACCGACCCCCTCTCCCGTGTTCACTGCTGGTAAGGAACTTAAATACAGCTAGGTATATATTTTATAATTGCAAGAGCAAATTAATTGACCATCTAGACACATAACAGTGTAACATTATTGCGGATATCATGTCCTATATTTAGTACACCTGTATTTATCGGACGCGTTTTGTGTTATCAGGGGGGCCTTATGTGAAAACATTATTTAATAGTAAACAGTTTCTCCGGAGATAAGAGCTCCGTAAAAGCGACATTTACTTCATTACACAACACAAACTGTTGACGATCAATATTTACTTTAGCTTCAATCAATAATGCCCCACTTATTAGTTCACATGACCAATAACACTCACACAGGTAAGAACTAGAAACAAGCATGTATGATACGTACAAAGAGAACATCAATAATGAATTGACCGAGGAATCTTTGTGTATACTTCATTTTAAGGATGGTAGCTTGGACACTATAGTAACACTACACATTGGTCATGTAATGACCATTCCTGTGTATACTTACGTCTTGGAATGGTAGTTTGAACACTATAGGGGACGACAAATTGTTGACGAAGGCAGACTCTCCGGCATACACATAAAGAGCAATGATGGGGGTATTCACATTGTCCTCCTTACTTTTCCTGAAAAGAACAAAAAAAAACTGTAGAGTATATGTTTCACTCGGTGTCCTGTTACTATCCTATGACTATTCTATCAGAGCCCGATTCTATCTTACAAAACACGACGAGAGAAAACAAGATTTTAACTCACAATTGTAAAAACTACACGTGTGGTAAACTTAGACCCTAATAGTATAGTCATTTGCTAGAACAATGTACCAGTTCCTGATGGCGTATTGGAACGATATCATCGGCTCTTGATCGCGTACTTATATAATATGTTATGTTTTCAAAGTTATCCATGTAAATCATTCTCGTTCATAGTTTACCCTGCCTATGAGTACGGCATCGGGACTCGATACTACCCTATGACCAGTAACACGAGTCAATGACTATCCTACGAATTATGACGAGGCCATCGGTAACCGTTAGGAAGTCAATTAACGTTATACTGAAATAACAGGGGAAGTCAAATAATTTGATTAAATGCAATATAATAGCAGCATGCAGTATCCGTGGTTCACACTCGTGATTAACCTGACCAATACTGTAGGATTACTTACGTTTGAAGATCGTGATTTGGCAGGTACATGGCAAGATGTTTAAAGCGAAAACTGGCCGTCAAAATTTTGAAGGCTGTAAAATATGTAATTATGTTTTACAATATATTATAATAGGTAATTAAACAAGAGGCCCATGGGCCTTAACGGTCACCTGATATATGTATACAGAGAGTTGATTTTTGTTTTTAGCATGAACAGAAATATTATTCAAAGTGACAAAAAACAATAAAACCACCTTATTCAATATCTAGCATGCAGATTTAAGACTGAAAAGTATTTGAAACTAGCACCCCTGATTCTAAAAAAGGAAAATGAAGAAATTTTATTTTAGCACACATACTCCATTGGACCCCACCCTACAGCCCTTGGGTTAGGGATGGCTCAAAATTTACAAAGTTTCAAACTGTCAACTTAGGGTTATAATTCCAATCAAGTTAACATGTAATATTCAAAGTATCATTTTCCATTATAAACCATAACAAATTTTGCCCCCCCCCCTCCCCCTCCTTCCCCAGGGGGAATTGCGAGACCCCAGGGTCATTCAATTCACAAATTTGGTAAAGCACCTTAAGACCCTTCCATCTATGAAGATTATTTGAGTCTACTATATCTGGGTCTTGAGAAGAAGATTTTTGAAATTTCAGTCAATTCAACCCTTTTTGGCCCCACCCATCAACCCTAGGGGTCAGTCAGGGCTCATATGTAAATACTATCAAACTGCTACCCAATACTGATAATGCTAACCTAAATTGAATTACTTCCAATGGCAATAAAACAAATGTTGGTCCAAAATGTGATTTCCCTATATAAACTATAGTAAAGTTTACCCCCTTCCCAGGGGGAAACGTGAGACCCCAGGTTCAAGAAATTCACAATTTTAGTAAAGCACCTTAAGACACTTCTATCTATGAAGAGTATTTGATTCTACCATATCTGGATCTTAAAAAGAAGATTTTTGAAATTTTAATTCATTGAAATTGGTGTAGGGGTTTTGGAGAAGAAGTCGAAAATGTAAATTGTTTACGGACGCACGACGGACGACGGACGACGGAAGACGCCGGCCAAAAGGCGATCGCAATAGGTCACTTGAGACTTTGTCTCAGGTGACCTAAAAAGATCAATATAAATAAGAAAGTGACACTTACATTACAAATTAAGCGGAATTTCGTGCTTACTAATGAAATGCATCAGCATAAATACATAGGTATCAGAGCAAAGGTTCATTGTCAATAAAATTTTGGAGATTTTTAATTAAATTTCATGCTTGAACGATGTGTGCTTTATACAGCAAACTTTATACCGGGGAGTCTCACACTGTAACTTTATACAGCAAACCTTTTAACGGGGAGTCTCACACAGTAACTTTATACAGCAAACCTTATACCGATGAGTCTCACACTGTAACTTTATACAACAAACCTTTTACCGGGGAGTCTCACACTGTAACTTTATACAGCAAACTTTATACCGGGGAGTCTCACACTGTAACTTTATACAGCAAACCTTATACCGGGGAGTCTCACACTGTAACTTTATACAGCAAACCTTATACCGGGGAGTCTCATACTGTAACTTTATACAACAAACCTTATACCGGTGAGTCTCACACTGTAACTTTATACAGCAAACGTTATACCGGGGAGTCTCACACTGTAACTTTATACAGCAAACCTTATACCGGGGAGTCTCACACTGTAACTTTATACAGCAAACCTTATACCGATGAGTCTCACACTGTAACTTTATACAGCAAACCTTTTACCGGGGAGTCTCACACTGTAACTTTATACAGCAAACCTTTTACCGGGGAGTCTCACAATGTAACCTTATACAGCAAACCTTATACCGAGGAGTCTCACATTGTTACTTTATACTGCAAACCTTATACCTGGGAGTCTCACACTGTAACCTTATACAGCAAACCTTATACCGGGGAGTCTCGCACTGTAACTTTATACAGCAAACCTTATACCGGTGAGTCTCACACTGTAACCTTATACAGCAAACCTTATACTGGGGAGTCTCACACTGAAAATCTACCTACCGGGTATAGATGACGCATTTTGTGTCTTTAAAATATCCGGTAACCGTATCTCTCCGATATTGTTTGGCGATTTCATCAGCTTACGGTCAAGGCTAGATGGGTAAATATAACCTCGAAATAGACTCGACGCATGCACGTCAACTTTGAATTCTGGAATGAAATGCAAAAACAATGGTAGAAATGTTGTTTTTATTTGAATGTCAAAATAATTAATAAGTAATATTAAATACTCCAAATTTAATATTCTTCAAAAGACAATATGCTTATAACACTAGATAATTCAAGTAACTTAACAACGCTGCCATTTTAATAACATGCAATTTCAAGTGTTCGTCCAAATGTTTGTAATAAATAATGTTTTCTCTGACTGTTCTTAGGTGTTCATCGTAGCCGTTTATGTGTCATGTCTTTGTCTTTAATATGATATCACAATATCATAACATCATGCTTATTGTCTTAAATACCACATTATAGTATAAAATCATGCGAATCGTCTTAACTTTAACGTCAACATTGCTTTTATTATATGCAAAATATATGACGTATGTATACACGTGACAGCACGGTAGGCGTGCGATAGATGTATCTCATATTTGTAGGGTTCGATGTTGCACATACAAAAACGTTCCCTTAAAACGAGATGGAAAGGTAACATGAGGCCTTCTTAAAGCATTTGTATATCGTACCAATGTTGCCTTTGGCTTCGAAGATGGAGGCATCACTGCCGTCGATCATGCCTATACGTATATTGTATTGGATTGTCTTGGCAACAGTCCGGGCGAAGGCCTCAAGGGCACTGACCAGGTTGTCCCCCTCCACTCCGGCCGGTTTGGTAGCGTTCCAGCCCACGTCATTTCTACGTGACAACAAGTTGTCTACCGTTCGAATTATCACCTGTAAATTAATTAGAAAAATAGTAAACAGTATATTCATGAAACATTATACTATATCTATGTAGTTTTAAGTCATTTGTCTGTTAAACTGACGGTACGATAACCAACACTAGAATCAATTCTTCCTCCTGTAGATGAATCGGTATGCCATCAAATCAATGTTTTATGGAATGCGACATTTTTTATATGAAACTGGAAAAAACGAAAATGTATCAGCGAACCTCATCATTGTATTAGTACTGTAACAGCGCTATGAAGAGAGGACGATTCGGTTAAAGCTATATTCTGAAAAATTACTAGGAATATCAAGAAGAATAATCTTAAACAGAATAACAGAAATACTACAATCAATAACTAAAGCTATAATTTACACAGTGTCAAAACGTAACAAATTAAACCACCGCATTGTCAGACCAAAATGAAGGACAAAATATGATGGAGTGTAAAATCACAAGGAAGGACAAAATATACTGCTGTGTCAAATCACAAGGGATGACAAAACATACCACATGGTTGAATAACAAGGAAGGACGAAATGGACCTAAGTGTAAAAGCGCAATGCATGACACAGTATACCGCAGTGTGAACGCTCAAAAATGGCAAAATAGACCACACGGTTAAATCACAAGGTAGGATAACAATACCGCATTGTAAATAATGTGAATGTAACAGTGTATTCCGCAGGTACTATCCCAAAACATTATCCTGGGCTGCATAGTCACGATCCGAACGGGAAAGCGTTGTGCATGCCCAAGACGGGGAGTGCAGTATTCCTAACCATCTGACAACTATTTTCTAGTATCGTAAACTGCAAACTAAAACATGATTATCATATTAATTTATTAGTGGCCTTCATTTCAATTATCAATAAAATTCTTTGATGACAAAAATATGTGATGAAAACAACTTAATTCAAGTCACATTGTAAAACCTGTAGTAATGTAATTGCATGTAATTATGTTAGATACACAAGTATGATTTTTGGATCGATCACAAGTTTTTAGATAATATTCATTCACTTAAAAGCTATTTTATTTCCAAGTTATGTCCTTATATTGTTTGTACTCTAGCTTCATAGCCACCGACTTGATCTTTATACTTTACGTTATAACAAAAGACTTGTTACTCTAATAACATTGCTAAAGACTTCCTTCTTCTATGAGGTCATAGCAAAAGACTTCTTCTCTGTCAACACATCAGAGAGTAATATTACGCTATTATCTACATTGATTTCCTTGAGGTTATGAGTGTACATGATGATGCAATAACGAAGTGTTTACATGGTAACGTTATGTGTGGCACAACATTATCTTCGCCGTCTTTGAAGGCACGGTTCCGACTAGTCGTACAACTAACACAGTTTGTCTGTCTACGATGGTTTTATTTAATCAAACTGTTTAACAAAAATCGTGTTATTTCAATGCATGCTTTGTGTGCCTCCGAAAGACTGTAAATAGGTACATAATGAAATAAGAATATTGACTTCCACTAAAATAACTTTTATTATGTATACTATGTATTTGTTGTCCATATGCACCAATTCTGTTGAATACATGGCTAAACTGGCTCATTTGTACTTACATATACAGTACATAAACGATATACATTTGATTTCCTATACACCAGTGCACTTATGTACCTAAGTGAGTACTACTATACGATACAAGATCTTAGTGTTATATCTCGCACAAGAATATATCAGTGCTAAGATGAAAAAGGAGAGCTACCATTGAGCAATTAGCAACAGCATGTATAATGCCCTGTGTGACAGATGTTCGTGACATTTGGCCTGTATAATGGCAGTTACATAGACACTAACTGTACTAGTATAGATTTTAGAATTTCAAAATTTACTTGAGAGGTTCATGGTACTAAAGGGCTGACATAACAATATATCCCATCACTGAGGTGCTACTAGAATGGCTAAGATACACAAGATGCCATATCCTACTGGTATTGATCAGAAAGACAAGAGATGAGTGAAGGGTTACTGGTATTGACAGAGAAATGCATGATATCAGATTACTGAGGAGCTAATGCTATTTAGTCAGAAAGTCCGGAGAGCATTCCGGGATTATTGATATTGAATGAGGAAGGGACGATATCATTGACAAGCCTACTTGTTAAGCTCAACTAATATAATCTTCAACAAGATTCTTTATTGCTGCGTATTCAAATTACTTTTACATGTACATATGTATATAAATATATGTGCAATTTGTATAATCATATTTATAAGGTTTTGATGCAGTTCAAATGTACAATAGTTAGCCACTAATCAATAAGAAAGAGATTAATCTTCAGTTAGTTGACATACCTCTGTAAAGTTTTTAATTTCTTCCTTCGTTCTGACAACATTTACAGTTTGGGCATAAACATTTCCTCCTTCTCTCCATTTCTTCTCTTTAAGGATAGCAACCTGGAAAAAACATCAGCATCACAGTAGGGCACCTGTTGAAGGATGAATGGATTGGCAGCGGTTAACATCATATGGAAACGGTTTCCACATATTAGTGGGCCACTAAATATTCGTTTTGAAGTATCATCTCAATGGAATATCATACCCTAAACGCTGCAGGATGACTCTTGACCCAGTCATATTATAATGACAACGGGGGTACTTAGGGATCCAAAAACAAAAAAAGAAAGTGAGGCGAAAAGTAGACGTGTTACAATTGTTGTTGACAGCAATTGTTGTTTAAATCAACAACAAGAGCAAGAAGATTTATGACTGTGTCTACGTTTATGGGGGTTGTAAACACATCACGTGACGACTTACCTGGTTTCTGGTATCCACAAGAGACCCAGTAGATATATGACTGTGGATACGTCTATGGGAATCGAGCACACATCACATGACGACTTACCTCGTATTGGGTGTCCACAATGAGACCCAGTAGATCTATGACTGTGGCTACGTCTATGGCGATTGAGCACACATCACATGACGACTTACCTCGTCTTGGGAATCCACATTGAGACCCAGTAGATATATGACTGTGGCCACGTCTATGGGGATTGAGCATACATCACATGACGGCTTACCTCGTCTTGGGTATCCACAATGAGACCCAGTAGATCTATGACTGTGGCTACGTCTATGGGATTTGTGTACACATTATTTATTGTATGGTTTAACAGCAACTCCGCCAGGTAGAACACTGTGCTCTCATTAAGGTCTAGTTCTTTAAAAGCTCTCTTAACCTGCAACGTAAGCAAAACATTACAAATATCTACACCCTGGAGGACATTTGCGCCTTAATATGTGTCCAATATATCGCCAGATCGATGTCGATGGCTCCACCTAATTGATCATAGGCATCGATTTTTTCATTGAACAACTAGTTCTGAGCAATTTGTTTTATCTCGACATGGAATAGTCAAAGGGATTACACTATTCTGCTGAATAAACAACTACAAAGTAGAGTGTACTGATGCATAGCGTGTGATCTACAGAGATGTCTCAACGATGTACCTGTACATTGATGTTGTAATTAGTGAGTTTTAACCTGGTGAGACGAGCTATAAAAACAGCAAACGCATAAATACTCCATAACAAACTAGTGTCAGAAAAATGAGGGTTTTTTTGTGGCCGGAAAAGCAGCAATAGTAGTAGTTTATCGGTCTTTGTGTCTTTGTTTTGCGTTAATTTACATAACCGTTCCATCAACGCACTTAATGCATGGTCATGTCAAATTATTTTGACAAAAAAGCACCTGCCGAGGATAATTACACCACGGCGGTGTTAAATCCCTGCGTGCGCCAGAGATCCCCTCTCATCACAGTTTTAATGTCCTGATTACGTCCACGACTTCTCATCCGAATCAATCTGACATAAAACTTGAAACAATCGATATTGTTGAAATTGGGGACAGCATTTTAAATTGGCACTGGAAAATTGGATTGAACAACACCGCAATGACTTGCATCTTGTATTCATGATAACTGGCATCGGTCCATCGGCCCCTGCCGTTCCAATGCCAGGCTCATGGAGAAATGTCTAATTCGTCGAATGCGTTGAAAGCAGTGTTGAACATGTGTTTGAAGCATCATTTTGTTATTTGATTGGGTTTTTCAGAGTATCAGCACACTTGAGACTTACTTTATCCTTGATTTCCATAAGGTCTTTTGAGATGCATCTGTCTATAAATGGCTTCCCCCATATTCCGTCATTCTGTTGGGTCTGGTCACATAACCGGGTAGCGTTTTCTGTTTTAAACAAAATCCATGAACATCTTAACATACAGAAAATTGATAATAATCGAAACAGCAATCTACCATCTGGTTTAACTATAAATGTACTTCTTTTTAAATAAAGGCGTTAGCCAAAATACGAAGTAATTGAACACAGTGATGATCTAACGTTTGTTTTATGTTTTACGTTTTCGCAAAAGTCACATGAAGACGGCGTCCACGGATGACGGGGCGACTCAGTAGCCACTAAAAGTGTCATCTCATCGAAATGTCATATCCAAGACATAGCCATATGACACCCTGATTCCATTATGCTTACAAATGACTAGCCAATCCTTAACGATACCCTTATAGAGCACAACGTCAAGAACAGGGCAATAAGTGCCCATTTTAACAACCTCGATTTGTTTCGGTCTGAGGACACGACCGATCACCTTCCTCGCTAATTGGGAGAACGGTCAGTACTAAGGCCATCAGCCAGGTATCGCTTTGTAAGGCTTAAGGCAGCGAAAAGGATAAAGAAGAAAGTGAATGTATCCAATATGTTGCAATGGTGTGGCAGATATGTTTAAGTAGCTTTCATGACCCCAAATAAAGTTCGCAAATGAAAGTCCTTAATTCTGCAGTGGTTCCTACATTAGTTGTCTCCTATGAATCGTGCACTCGATAACTTTTCTCCATCACCGACCTTCCCCGACCATCCCCAACCTTCAAATGTTGTGGTATAATGGCACAGTGTACCAAATAGGACTCCATATCATCAGACGACATAATCACAAAATACCATTTACAATCAGCCAGCGGCATTCAACGTCCATTATATTTTCCTGCAGGCGTCTTATTTGTTGAGGCGCTATAAACGACAGTTCTGTTTTAACTGTTTTTTAGAATGAAGTGATTTGATATATGGGGTGTTGACGCATGTGTTGAGTCTCTATACAGAATGTAAAAAGTAATGCGGTTAGTGCAAATGTGAAACACATAGATAACACAATCCCTGAGAAGTCTGTGGAGAAACGGCATTGTCGCGTTAGAAAACCAGTTGTAGAAGACAGACTATGTTTACAGAAAGATATTTTGTTAAAACTGCCTAAAACGTCACTATCATTAAACTGTCTCGCTTTCCGCGTTATTTATGGATTGAGGTGCAGTTGGGTGTTGTCAGCATTTTTATTTATATTTCAGAGAATGATTTTGATGTTTATCGTGGAATTTCTTTCGATATAGCAATCGACAGAAAATTAAAAAAAAATAAAAAGAGAATAATTGTAATATTTGATGTTTAGAAGTTCGTTCGTAAACAAAAATAAGAGACTTAATAAGTCCGACCAAGCTGTGCGGAAAATTGCTCAATTTAATTCCAACTATTCAGACTTTAATTCTGATCAGGAAGATTGATTTTAATAAAAAAAAAATAAAAAAAAAAGTGTATTTAAACCTAAATATGCATGTTTTGAAATATATACAGTGTCCTACCCTTCAATTGTGTGCTAGAGCTTATAAATCATTACCCTTTATTGGCATGACAACTACAAACCGCCTAAGAGTAGACTTCAAAGTGACAAAATATACCTACCGACGGTTTCATTCATGGCGGCCAAGTTTTCCTGGCCAGGACACGACACGTTGAGATAGTTGACAGCCTTTGTCCGTTCCCAGACTATATTTTCAACTATATCCTTATTACATTGTGCACCTAGAAATGAAAACAAAAAACAATTCTGAATTGAAATTATGTTGGGAACCCTTACTGAATGTACGTTAAAAAAATAACCAACCAAAGAAGGGTGTACGTCAGTCATTTGACGACGATACAACAAATATGTATGTGGTGTATTCCTATCACAAATCTGGTCATATCAGACTTTAACACATTGCAGTAAGGGTTGTCGATGTCGTTTTCAACCGTTATTCCCCAATTCTTTTTGAAGAGTGATTGAGACAATACCTATTAACCAGTGATACCTATATTGTGCTTGGGTCAATACATTCTATCAAACGTTCGCAAACAATTGTACCCATGCCAATTTATTTTTGAAATCATTTTTGTAGCAAGATGTTTCAATTTTGTGAAAATACGCTCTATTTCAATACCGAAGAAAACAAGATTTACGCACTTATTAGACCTTGTCTTGTATAAACAAAGTCAGTATAGAGAAGGCCTGTTGGAACACTACCATGTCATGGTTACAATTGAAATGGTACATTGAAATCAAAAACTGAATACAAATGGCATCACTTCATGAGAAACCATGACGAACGGACACTCTAATTTCAATTAACCAATAAACGTCAATGTGGGGGTAACCTATAACGTATATTATGACTGGTTTTCAGAATTATATAATCACTAAACTCCCCCTAATATCTTAATTATTATGTGACGTTGGTAACGTATTTACCTATTGTCAAACTGCCGTGTTTGTTACACGTAAACTCCCCCTAATCTCTAAACTATTATGTGACGTTGATAACGCATTTACCTATTGCCAAACTGCAGTGTTTGTTACAAGTAAACTCCCCCTAATCTCTACATTATTATGTGACGTTTATAACGTATTTACCTTTTGTCAAACTGCAGTGTTTGTTAAACGTAAACTCCCCCTAATCTCTTAATTATTATGTGACGTTGATAACGTATTTACCTATTGTCAAACTGCAGTGTTTGTTACAAGTAAACGCCTCCTCTTCAGCTGTTTTACATTTCTCTTCTGGAAAATAAATAGAACTTTTATTATCCCTCATCACAACTACATGGACTGACGTCACAACGCTCATTTGTTTAACTACAAATTACCGATGTCTCCATACATGAAATTGGCGTTAATTCTTGACAGTCATGCCAAAGACAGACTTTATCACACGTATAATATCGGTATGAGTTTTACTGACATAAACTACGTGTAGTATACAAAGATAATCAAACCACTCAATATTTGCGTTTGCCACTCGCCTAAACAATCGTGGTTTACAGAAATCTTTATCGTACGAATTGTTTCCCTGTGAATATAGGTTGTATTTTTAAAAGACAAAATATATTTGAAACAACCCCGAAAGATGATATCAGCAAAGAAACAAATGTTGATGTTACATGTTAATGTTGTGTTTATACTACGATGCGAAAATGTCTCATAGAATTCTGTTCACCATAATTCTACCCTTTCTGGTCATGAACGCGATGACGTCATGTTGCCTTTATCTCAAATCTGATAGTGGGATGTTTACGATGGTGTGAGACAGTCTGTTGGCTAGCAGTCCGTATACCAGGTCCTATATAGGCCAGTCACTGCTCGTATTGTCGTGAAACACTGCAGATAGTCCACTTCCGACCCAGTATCTGATGGAGACTCCCGAAATGCCGCCATAAATCGGTCAATAATACTGGCGTATTGATTCTAAACCGTCGATGATTCAATAAACACTCTAGATTGATAAGGTAGACTGGCATTACGAGCGAGATAAGGTGTACAAATGATTGGCTGGGAGAAAACAGCTCTGTCTTTATCATTATATTACAGACACGACACAAAGGTTGCGAGCTGTTGGGAAGGTTGAATGCTCTCCCAATATCATGAGCAACAGGACGAAAAGGAAAAAAGTAGAACATCTACCCCAGGCATCGGGACTCATCTTCATGTATGGCGATGTATGTTGGAAGTCTCTCCTTCGAAAGATTAACTCTCAACGTTAGGAATCTAACAAGTCTCCATTGTTTTACTCGCAATTGTAAGAAATGACCAGGTGGCTCGGGTAGGGATGTATTCCCAGTTTTACTTCATCATCTGAGAGGAAATTGAGTCTATCTGTGTCGAAAAAGGTCTCAACCAATCCATATTCCACCACCGCTACTGCCGGTACCCGAAAAGGTTTGCACACAAGTAACCTCAGGGTCATTTTACAGAAGAAGATCACACTAGAAAAAATGTTATTTTTACAGAAGTAGATCACACTAGAAAAAATATTATTTTCGGATTGTTATTTCATAGTTTCCAAATTAATTGGTGTGTTTATTATCAAAGCGTCGCAGGTAACTTTTATACAGAAAATGATTACAAACATATAGATCTCAGGGAAATGTCTTACATATCAGCTCCTCCTTACCTACTCGTGTGTGATTTACGGTAACAGTATATAAACCAGTTGCACGAAATCAAAATGACTAAAGTTTTCAAAATTTTTCAGGTTTTTTTGTTTTGTTTTGTTTTGTTCTTTTGTTCTGCTTATTCTCATAACAGAACTGTTTTTAAATACCACATTTCGTTTGCACTTTTTTACTTTTACTTCTTCACATACACATCGAATGATGCAAAAAAAAGAGACATTTTTGTGAGATATGCAACTTTTGGTGTTTTTGCTTAAGCACTTTTAAATGTTTAGGAAGCCCCGTGCTGGGGCGGATCCGGGATGTTTTTCATGGTGTTGCCAAAACTTCACAAATACAAATAATATCTTACAGAGCGATCTTTAGTGGCAGCCATTGTGGTTTTTTTCCGATCAGCCTCAAAATGACACATGCACAATAATGCATATAATTAGGAACCTTTATGTGAAATACAAAACATATATATGTTAAGCACTTCTTGAAATATAGCAATAACAAACTTGAACTCTCAAATCTCAAGATAGCTACCTGGCAAGAATTGTTCATGGTCGGATGTCATGCATCGTACAATGTCATGTACACAAATCTGTCAGTTAAGTATTGGTATATCAATAGTCAATAAAGCTATAATACAATATGAGTAGCGGACGTCGGCAGCATTATTGGTGTCATTTTGGTATATGTATGAGTACTGACGTTAGAGGTACATTAGCAAGGCAGTCGCTTCCATAACGTTGTCCTTTTTAAGTGTTCCTGCCACTGTAAACTGTATATAGGTCTATAACATATCAATATGGTGTCATAACACTGGTGGATCTTAGCTTAGTAGCCTGCTAGCTCAGTGAAGAATCTGACATTACACAGGACAAGAACAAATGTCGTACTAGTCATCCATACTGTATGTATAGTGTCCTGTTGTCCACATGCTTACACACAGTAGTGAGGCTAGTCCATAGATGCTTTTAGTCTAAAAATGGAGATATGATGTTTTAAGAAAAAATGAAAGTTACAGAGCATTCCAAAATCACTACATGGTCCTACCTTACACTAACACATAGTCAAAAAAGTTTTATTTAAACGTGAATCTAGACAGTTTTAAGAAAACGAAAAAAATATGGGAAAAAAAGAAGTCCGCTCTACCATAAGAAGTAATTATTACATCCCTTTCTCCATAAACGTCATGCAAGACCAGCAAGTATCTACTGGTGACCTTTTGTGTCCTTTTAAGGAGGCACGGAGCCAATCAAAATGGTCGTATAGAGTAAGGCCTGATACGCTGTGTGTAACGAGATATGTTGATACACTGTTAAACGTTCGGGCCGTACCTGTGTGTAACCTCTACACCGATAGACTAAGAATTAACGTACATGTGTGTAACCTCTACATCGATAGACTAAGAATTAACGTCCCTGTGTGTAACCTCTACACCGATAGGCTAAGAATTAACGTCCATGTGTGTAACCTCTACATCGATAGACTAAGAATTAATGTTCCTGTGTGTAACCTCTACATCGATAGACTAAGAATTAATGTTCCTGTGTGTAACCTCTACATCGATAGACTAAGAATTACCGTACCTGTGTGTAACCTCTACACCGATAGACTAAGAATTAACGTCCATGTGTGTAACCTCTACATCGATAGACTAAGAATTACCGTACCTGTGTGTAACCTCTACATCGATAGACAAAGAATTAACGTACCTGTGTGTAACCTCTACAACGATAGGCTAAGAATTAACGTACATGTGTGTAACCTCTACATCGATAGCCTAAGAATTAACGTACCTGTGTGTAACCTCTTCATCGATAGACTAAGAATTAACGTACCTGTGTGTGACCTCTACATCGATAGACTAAGAATTAACGTCCCTGTGTGTAACCTCTACATCGATAGACTAAGTATTAACGTACCTGTGTGTAACCTCTACCTCGATAGACTAAGAATTAACGTACCTGTGTGTGACCTCTACATCGATAGACTAAGAATTAACGTCCCTGTGTGTAACCTCTACATCGATAGACTAAGAATTACCGTACCTGTGTGTAACCTCTACACCGATAGGCTAAGACTTAACGTCCATGTGTGTAACCTCTACATCGATAGACTAAGAATTACCGTACCTGTGTGTAACCTCTACACCGATAGGCTAAGAATTAACGTGCCTGTGTGTAACCTCTACATCGATAGACTAAGTATTAACGTACCTGTGTGTAACCTCTACCTCGATAGACTAAGAATTAACGTACCTGTGTGTACCCTCTACACCGATAGGCTAAGAATTAACGTCCATGTGTGTAACCTCTACATCGATAGACTAAGAATTACCGTACCTGTGTGTAACCTCTACACCGATAGACTAAGAATTAACGTACCTGTGTGTAACCTCTACACCGATAGGCTAAGAATTAACGTACCTGTGTGTAACCTCTATATCGATAGACTAAGAATTAGCGTACCTGTATGTAACCTCTACACCGATAGGCTAAGAATTAACGTACCTGTGTGTAACCTCTATATCGATAGACTAAGAATTATCGTTCCTGTGTGTAACCTCTACACCGATAGACTAAGAATTAACATACCTGTGTGTAACCTCTACATCGATAGGCTAAGAATTAGCGTACCTGTGTGTAACCTCTACATCGATAGACTAAGAATTAACGTACCTGTGTGTAACCTCTACAACGATAGGCTAAGAATTAACGTACCTGTGTGTAACCTCTACAACGATAGACTAAGAATTAACGTACATGTGTGTAACCTCTACAACGATAGGCTAAGAATTAACGTACATGTGTGTAACCTCTACACCGATAGGCTAAGAATTAACGTACCTGTGTGTAACCTCTACACCGATAGGCTAAGAATTAACGTTCCTGTGTGTAACCTCTATATCGATAGACTAAGAAATAACGTACCTGTGTGTAACCTCTACACCGATAGGCTAAGAATTAACGTACCTGTGTGTAACCTATACACCCATAGGCTAAGAATTAACGTTCCTGTGTGTAACCTCTATATCGATAGACTAAGAATTAACGTACCTGTGTGTAACCTCTACACCGATAGACTAAGAATTAACGTACCTGTGTGTAACCTCTACACCCATAGGCTAAGAATTAACGTTCCTGTGTATAACCTCTACACCGAAAGGCTAAGAATTAACGTACCTGTGTGTAACCTCTACATCGATAGGCTAAGAATTAACGTATCTGTGTGTAACCTCTACACCTCTTCGCCGATAGGGTAAGAATTAGTAGATGAAAAAATAGTACAACAACAAGATAAAAAGACAACATAGAAAATGAGATGAAGTATTGGCTAGTATAAATGACAACAATAACAGGGTCTCAATTAACAATTAGCACCTGTGGTGACACGGGTTGCCTTTGTAACGATGGTGTATTACCTGACAACTCCATGACATCACACGTACATGTCAACTAGTCAAAAGTCGTAAAAAGTGTAAAAGAAAAAGAAAAAAAAAAGAGAAAACATAAAACATACTCTGAAGAGTTGTTAATATTCCATCTGCAATAGAATAGGAGGACTGCTTAAGTACGAGAGTAAACCATGTTTATATACACGGAACCCGAGACACAGAATCAAAATCAACTCATGAGTTTTTATCTTGTCATTATTATTTCTCTAAAGGTTTGATAACATGACGATGCTTGTCAAATGCTTAGAATCTGTAATTCCTTATACACACCGAGAACGATGAGATGACTGTTTCTCACATATACTGCTGGACGTGTGTTTCATTAATTACATAAACAAAACACAAATAGTTCTAAACACGACGACACTCCTTAATAAGAGAACACCGTCAAAACGTTGAATCCTTTTTAGCAGTATACACTGTTTAAACCACAAAGCTCATGGTGTCTTTCTGCCAAATGTAGGTTTATCGACATATACTACATAAGAGTGTAATTAAAGGTTCATTATATCGTAGTTACTGAAAATAGTGTACTTACAGTTCCGGACTACTATGTATTTATGGGAAACACAATGTAACATACAGCATACCAAACTTTAAGAGCACATTCAAATGTTATTGTTTGTATGGGAGTACATAGGTTAAAGATAACTACATCTGTATGTAACACCTGAATGTGTTTGAAATCAGTTGACCTTACACATTTTATATTATGCGACTGATATAATAGTTCAACCAGAGCTGGTCTGATTGTGTCTTACGACATTTTGTTGTCTACTCCATCTGAATATATCACTTACTTAGAATACCGGAAGGCCATCTCATGCGCATGGCACCTCGAGTTCCACTCCGGAAGTCAGCCCACTGCGCGACGTTCCCACAATACATAAACGTACAGGAGTTGTTTAACAGAACGATATCGTCATGGCTCATGACAAAATCCCACACATGAAGATGAGCCAGGTCACCCATGAATGCCACACTCGAGTCGAAGTCGAAGGCTTCCCGGGACGCCTGACCTAATACAAACTCGCCTCCCGCGATCACCGGTTTCCGGAAAGCGTTCCGGCGGCCCCTGTTTACCTCTTCGGTATTCCAGTACAGTTTCCATGAACCGTCTGAAAGGAAAATTTAACAGTCTGCAAATCAACTTAACATATAGTTTATTTTAATCAAATGACTTTATTGCATTAAATAAAATCCCTTGATATTTTATTGTATACTACGTAAGAGAATAACAGTGAATGACGACAGACCGCGTCGTTAAATATCAATGCTTCTGGGTCAGGACGCGTCGTCTTTTTCAAAGTGTTTTTGCTGCGAATATGTGAAGCTAATTGGGGCTGTATCAAAAGTACCTATATATAATGTGGCTGTTAATGAGACAATAAATATCGATACCCATACAGCTGTAGGGTTAATCTGAGCATAAATACAGGTAAACTATACCTACCTGTACACATGTATATAATGTAATTGTGACGGTAATCCTGGAGGTAACACGCCTATAACGCTACGAGTTGCCAGTACCGGTATCGATGTCAGATTCATTTGAGCATCCCTATCAGTACCTCTATCGATGGTGTGTTATTCCAAGCATAACCACCGTTACCCATATATCCGAAAATAATAAACGGTACCCACACAGATGTGGTGTTAATAGAACAGAAGGAATTCATTGCGTTTGATACTGTTTTTATCAAATACCTGTTGAATCTTGTTATAGTAATACAAGCAATTTTCAGGCCATGAAATACAACGTTCTGTATTGCACATGTGCAATACGGAATGTTGTATATACCTTATAGCCGGAACCACCTTTTTTGGGAATCCCCTTGTCATGGCGAATTGAAAAGTTCCCAGTATTTGCAAAAAAATATCAAAGTTTATAAAATCTTTGTATCGATCTCTACCAAATACGGAAGTTATGTGATAAAAGCAAGACCACACACTTGTGTTTTTCTAGTATATGTATATCTAAATTAAGGTGGGGTCAACATTGGGCCCTCACTTCAACTTATTTTATTTTTGTGTAGATACATTAAAAATAACAATAACTGCATATTTGATTATTCATTGTTACCACTGATAACCGTAGTTGACCTCTTTGGATAATACTAGGTTGATTGACGGGAGTGTCCTTACAAAACGACAAATAAATGTCACAGTTTGAAATGAATTATGATAGTGATATTGCATAAAATTACTGTTATTTTGATACTAAACATGTCATTGGTATATATTAAATAAGGGTAGTGATACGTTTGATAAGAAAAACATGCAAAATTTCACAAAATTTAAAAATATATTAAACATTGTCATTTTGCCTATATATAATTACAATGGTAGTCTATATTTTATACTTCTTTAAAAATGTCCATATATAAATTCTGTCTACAGTAAACTTTTTATGTTATATCAAAACCGGTCAATTTTTTTTTTGACAAACATGACTGCACAATTTCACATAATCATGAAGATTTAATAATCGATGTTATTTATGGTAAAAACCGATACCTTTTCTGTTTTTGTATTATACCAAAACACTTCATTATATTACGCATGAACTCATAAATATATATTCTGCAAAAGTAATATTTCCACTGGAGAACTACTTAGGTTGATGTTGTGTTATAGACAAAGACATGCAATAAAATAATCTTTATAATTAAACTACAGTACATGTATTATACACTTGACCATTATTTTATTTTGTCTTTTGCCCATTTATCTGTAACTCTCAAAACATAGGGCAAGCGCAGATATCCTTGTCTGACTCCCCATACAAAAATTGTATTTGATTCTTTTGACCTTGAACTAAAGTTTACATATCTTACATTGTATATCCACTCACATGAATAACCTATACTTGCCAAATAGCAAGACCCAAGGACATTTGGTGACGAAGAAACACAAGTTAAAGGAAAAGTAGAAAGAAAGCTATGTTTTCCTTTTTTTAAATCATAGGTGTTATATAACAAATTAACCGGTTGTCATTTTTTTTGGGGGGGGGGAGGAGGATTATTGGTAGCCAACTTTTAAGCCAGTATAAAAAAAGACTCGTATTAGAACTATGCAAATTAACGTGTCCAAAATGGGAATTCTCTCAAAAGTAATGAAACCCATATTTTTCTGCTTAAATCTTCAATAAAAAGGAGAATTCTTTCTTGAAATAGTCTTATAATCGGTATCAAAATAACAGTTGGAATATGTTGCACAAGATGATAATATAATTTTAAAGTTATTGTGTCATTTAAATGCTCTCGGAGGAATTGTAGCACCGCACCTTTACCACCCACACAGGTGTAATTCAACGAGGTCCCATTTGTCATAGAATGAATTCTGAAACTAACTGTTCCTGATTTAAGCTTGCTTTACCCCTGCCTTTTTGTATTTATCTTGTTTTGAAATTCCAATTGGGGGCTGGCGCAAATAGTAATCTCCATAGGCGTTGACCCTTCCTTTGACATGTGTACCAATAATTCGAATACATGTTTTTTCATTGTTTGAATCAAAAGCAACTTTACGTCACCTAAGAGTAAGTCGGTCATTGTACCGTTTTCAATACAGTGGTCGGTAACAGCAATATCATGATGTTCGGATGACAAAGAGGCGTACCATTCGAGTCCCATGTCCATGCCACATGGGCCCACTCGCCGGCCGGAAGAATGATCTTGGTATACTTCACTCGGTCAAACAGACGAAACCAGAGTTTGTGGTCGACTCCCATCTGGATGATATCGAGTTTGGTGCCGTGTTTGTAGGAGAGAATGGTGCCGTTTTTAGCGACGGAATGGTTCTTACTCAAACGGATCCAGTAGACTATGGTAAAGGCCCCAACCTCAGGGAAGCCTTTCCCAAGCAGCATCGTGTAACGTTTAGGCTCTTTCTCCTTAAACTCCAGTCGGGAGTCAATTGCTGTGGCTGAAAAACAAAGGCATGATTCCGTCACATCTTAAACCTACACCAAAATACACATTTGAGGGTCGTCTATTTAGACAACAAGAGTCTGGTTGAATGAGACTAGGTTTGACCAGACTCTCTGTTCGGCGAAGCTTGCGCAGACAACAAGAGTCTGGTTGAACGAGTCTAATTCGAGGTGTGTGCCAACATAACAGCGAGGTACCGTAACAGTGTGCACGTGTATCGACATAACAGTACGATACGATGTTTGAGGTAAGATAAGATTAAATAGCAGAGCAATCGCACTACCAAATATAACCACATGGCGATAGTAATGATCGGTGACAATGCTGTCACTCCATACTTACACATACACATATCCGTGTTCCAGTGGAAGCCGGAACCACACTCACATCCATAACCGTCAGGGTGGTCTATACACTTAGGCCTGTTATAGTAGGACGTGTGGCAGGCCGACACAAAGTCTGTGGCTGCAGCAGAAATACAGGTAAATAATGTGTAATAAGAATTATGTACATAGGTAAACACTATGTATACAAGTCAAATTGTGTATTTAAGGAGTATTGGCCCACTGGTGTTCTGCGTAAACCTGCGCAGGACTTAATGCAAAAGAGTACACAAAATTGAGAAGAATCATTATATTTATATTTCAAATATAAAAATATTCAAAACATATTAAATGCAAAATATTTTAATTTCAACAAATTATCTATACGCTTCATGTATTTCGGGTAACATTTCACATAGTTTATGAAGTCACAACTTAAACCAATCAAATAGCTTGTAACAGAAATTTTTTCAAGCAGGTACATGAAACAGACGTTTTCAGCTGAGAGTTCATGTAATATGGCTTATGATGTCATATCCGTCTGCATTGCAGTTGAGCAGAGGACATTTCCGGATGTTCACTTACCAGCCGCGACTCCATGTCTGCCCACACAAAACGAACCAAGCAAACAGATTATTGTGATGCCTAGTCCCACTCCAAAGAATTCCCCTACCACCCTCTCAAAGTAACCGACTCTTCGTCCATTGGTCATCGCACCATTCTTCTTCGTCTTCGACGTCGTCAACAAGGATCAGCCGATGAGCTGGTGCTGGATGTGATCGTTGGGTGTTTATCTAGGGAAGAGAGTGGTGTGTTAGAGATTAGACACTGTATTGATTCCCCCTCCGTACCAAGACCGTCCTACCGTCTGTCCGTCAGCTCTTACGTACACCAATTTCTCTGCGAACAGCAGCTATTACCTCTGTGAAGCCCGGGGCTTACGACTATCAGAATGAATATTATATCATACAGAGATTTGTATGTTCTAACTGCCGCTCTAGACACTCCAGAGACACAGGGCGGGGTCCAGACGTGATACCTCGATTGACGATCGTCAATTCGCTACCATTGAGTGGATTTCCGGCAGTATGTCTGACGGTCTAACCGCCTATTACCTGTCACTGTGCCGCCGACCCAATCACACTTAGTATTCATTATCCTCACAGACGTATTCTAGCTTCTGAGCAAAAACACAAAAGTGTATGTTAATAGAAGGAAAACCAGTGTGATCCGTATGAAAGAGCCGACCTATACTCTCTGTCAGGAGTAGTTGGACGACCGAATTGTTTTGTTATGCAAAAAATGGCAGTAGAATTTAATCAAAAGAACTTCGTCATTTTAATTATGGCATCTTCAAAGTAGAATATGAAAAATTAACGAATGAAAAGGTTGTATTACCTCAAAAGTTATTTTGTAAACACTAGTACACATTCGTAAATGAATCGTTGACGAGTAACGATACCGTAGACAGTAATAGTTTCTTGTCTGCGATAGGATGGAAACCGCGAGAGGAAATTTAGAACTACTCATTTAAGTAGTTGAAATATAAACATTAATTTTGATACGAGAATGAATAGTTTTAATAAAGCTGTATTCGTGCACAGAAGTAAAATTACTGTTTTCGTACATGTTTCCTGTTTGATTTTGCATCAAATAACTGCCACACCAACAGCTGATGTAAATAGTCTCATCATAAGTCCAAGAGCGGTTCTTATTCTTTGGTAAGTTGTAGGTTTTTGTATTGACATCATAAATCGGAAAAAGAGTTACCAATTTCACCTCAAGATGACGACGTTTTGATCTAAAATGATCATCCTAAATAAACATATCTCTATCAAAAGTTATATCGAAGTTTACCTCGTATCTAAAACAATAACCTCGTCCGTACATCTTACCCATAACTCGATAAAGACTAGTTTAAATTGAAATGTTCAGGCTCGATTCATCCGTCTCTTGCAAAATAAAGATTTTGTTAAGATGCATATGTTTCGTGTATGAGTGTTATTATTCACAATCGCGCCAGGATATATGCATATAATCTGTGTCCCTCCTTACACGTGTGATAGCCGTCGGAAACTACTCTGCCGTGAGTTATCACTCAAATTATTTACATTCAAACTGTAACATGTACTCATTCAAATTGCCGAAGAAAAAAAACGTTCGCCAGACTTTTTTTTCAATTATAGATTAGTAACAAAATAACTGCAGCCTGTGAATTTGATTAAGGAAACAATGCGTTTTATTATCTATTGTCATAAAACAAATACTGCCACGTTGCAACGCAGCCAAGATTACTTCTCCTCCGGTCATGTGTTATCATTTGTCATGTACGGGTTTCATTATGGCTTCACTGAAGATACACATTATGGTGAACAATTGTCTTAGACAAATATTTACCTAAAATGACCATCGATTAAGTATCAATGAACCTTTCGATATTATCTGGCACTAAGCAGTAATTGTCACCCTTTACTGACAACTGTTTGGGTCACTAGGAGTAACCGACGCATTAACATTATAAGGACTGAGTCACTAGGAGTAACTTAAATATTAACAGTATAAGGACTGAGTCACTAGGAGTTACCTAAATATTAACAGTATAAGGACTGAGTCACTAGACGTAACTTAAATATTAACATTATAAGAAGTGAGTCACTAGGTGTAACTTAAATATTATCATTATAAGTAATGAGTCACTAGGAGTAATTTAAATATTAACATTATAAGAACTGAGTCACTAGGAGTGACTTAAATATTAACATTATAAGGACTGAGTCAATAGATGTAACTTAAATATTAACATTATAAGTACTGAGTCACTAGGAGTAACCTTAATATTAACATTATAAGAACTGAGTCACTAGGAGTGACTTAAATATTAACATTATAAGGACTGAGTCAATAGATGTAACTTAAATATTAACATTATAAGTAATGAGTCACTAGGAGTAATTTAAATATTAACATTATAAGAACTGAGTCACTAGGAGTACCTTAAATATTAACATTATAAGGACTGAGTCAATAGATGTAACTTAAATATTAACATTATAAGGACGGAGTCACTAGGAGGAACTTAACTATTAACATTATAAGAACTCAGTCACTAGGAGTAACTTAAATATTAACCGTATAAGGACTGAGTCACTAGATGTAACTTACATGTAAATATTAACATTATAAGGACTGAGTCAATAGATGTAACTTAAATATTAACATTATAAGTACTGAGTCACTAGGAGTAACCTTAATATTAACATTATAAGAACTGAGTCACTAGGAGTAACTTAAATATTATCATTATAAGTACTGAGTCACTAGGAGTAACTTACATATTAACATTAAAAGGACTGAGTCACTAGGAGTTACCTAAATATTAACAGTATAAGGACTGAGTCACTAGGAGTAACTTAAATATTAACAGTATAAGGACTGAGTCACTAGGAGTTACCTAAATATTAACATTAAAAGAACTGAGTCACTAGGAGTAACTTAAATATTAACATTATAAGAACTGAGTCACTAGGAGTGACTTAAATATTAACATTATAAGGACTGAGTCAATAGATGTAACTTAAATATTAACATTATAAGTACTGAGTCACTAGGAGTAACTTACATATTAACATTAAAAGGACTGAGTCACTAGGAGTTACCTAAATATTAACAGTATAAGGACTGAGTCACTAGACGTAACTTAACTATTAACATTATAAGGACGGAGTCACTAGGAGGAACTTAACTATTAACATTATAAGAACTGAGTCACTAGGAGTACCTTAAATATTAACATTATAAGGACTGAGTCAATAGATGTAACTTAAATATTAACATTATAAGGACTGAGTCACTAGATGTAACTTACATGTAAATATTAACATTATAAGGACTGAGTCACTAGACGTAACTTAAATATTAACATTATAAGGACGGAGTCACTAGGAGTAACTTAACTATTAACATTATAAGAACTGAGTCACTAGGAGTAACTTAAATATTAACATTATAAGAACTGAGTCACTAGGAGTAACTTAAATATTAACATTATAAGGACTGAGTCACTAGATGTAACTTAAATATTAACATTATAAGGACTGAGTCACTAGACGTAACTTAAATATTAACATTATAAGGACTGAGTCACTAGGAGTAACTTAACTATTAACATTATAAGAACTGAGTCACTAGGATTAGCTGTGGTATTAACATTATAATTACTGAGTCACTAAGAGTAAAAGCAATATTAACACAATGCAATGTAAGTACTGAGTCACTAGACGTAACTGTGGTATTAACAAAATACATGTAAGATTGAGTCACTAAGAGTAACTGATATTAACATAATATATGTAAGATTGAGTCACTAAGAGAATCTGTGGTATTAACATAATACATGTAAGATTGAGGCACTAAGAGTAACTGTGGTACATTAACATTATACATGTAAGATTGAGTCACTAAGAGTAACTGTGGTATTAACATAATACATGTACTGAGTCACTAGACGTCACTGTAGTAATACAAAGGAAAGACAATTGATGAATTGAATGAACTTACGTGTATGTATACAACATTTTTATGAATCTTTCAGTACTATGTCCCGTCGTATTTCCCTTAATTATACTTTAATTAAGAGGTCATTTAAGATTTCTGTCCTTTTTTCTAATCAATTGTTGGTAGCATTTATTTCAATATTCAAATCAATCTTTAAGGAGAACGGTTAGAGTCTTCAAACTACGGGCATGTCATTTTAATCAGCGTTGTGTGTAAGATAATGGAATCACTATTTAGCAAAGAAGTTATGACCAATATGCGAAAGCAGGAACTTTTCAGCAAAGCACAGTATAGCTTTATTGAAGGCAGATCTACGATGTTACAACTTCTAAAGGTTATTGATGAAAAAACAATAATGTTGGATAAAGGAGCGCGTGTCAATGCTATTTATTGTGATTTTATGAAAGCACTTGTAAAAGTTTTTTTTATCAACCCCTAATCCATAAACTAGCAAAATATGAAATATCGGGGTGGTTCTCTTCATGGATAGCTGATGTTTTTACTGGAAGGAAAGGGTCGTCTTGAATGGAGAAAAAGTCGGAATTGAACCATGTAATAAGTGCCATACCACAAAGTCCGTTTTAGGACCACTTTCGTTTGATATAAATGACATGCCATAGCAACTCCGGTGTCATCCAGACAAATGCAAAGTGATGCGCGTGGACTACTTCAAAGTTAATCAAAGGAAGTACACACTTCAGGAAAATGCGGAAGCTTTGGAATTTGTTAACTTCGATAAAATATCGATGTTACCATTAACAATGTATAACTATAGCTAGTTGATAAGCATATTATGAGAGGTCTACAAAGAGCAATGGAATATATAAAGTTAGGTAGTTTAAGGTTGATATACACATCTTTAGTTAGACCACACATTGAATACGCGAATCAGGTCTAGTGTACTAATCTCGAAAAACACATAGAAACAAAAGAAAATGTCGAGCAACAAAGCAGGTACCTGGCCCAAAAGACTTTTCCTATACGGAGCGAATACACAAACTAAAACTCCAACACTAACATGTTAGATGTGAAAGAGTCCGTGGTGAAGTGATAGAGGTCTGCAGAACAATGTCAGACAAATACGACTGTCAAGTACGCGACATCTTTAAAATCAGGGAAGGCTCATCTACACGTTGACACAAAGTTAAAATTTACAAATCGCATTCAGGATTTAATATAAGAACATTTTCGTTTACACAAAGAACAATCTTCCGTCTACTATTGTAAATTCAAGTACTAT